TTTGTAGCTACATATTCTATTAATCTCATAACTTAGTTAACTTTTTTTTTGTCAATAAAACTTACTTCATTCATTAAACGATCAAAGTACAAAGGGAGGAAATTAAACATCCTCCAGAATTGCTACAACATAATTAAAAAGCAATAAAGCATAAAGAAGATAGATCATCGCATAGGATGGACAGTGAATCCAAAGCATGCTTCGAATGCGTCACGAGGGTCTTCGCGGCAAAGCCGGAGAGTCTCTGGTTAGTCACTTTACCATGTGACTTTGAAATTCCCGGCATAAAGCACGGGGGTTCGACCACTCTCCATGAGAGGGTAGAAAATACGACCATGCTCAAAAGAAGGTGCAATTGTCTTCCACAGGGTTACAAGATTTGAGAATCCAGAAAATTTTGGACTTCTCATAAGGGAAGATCCAATAAGCTCAAAAGCATATGAGATTTTTGCAAATCTAATTTTTAACCTACTAGAAATTAGGCCAAGTATAACGAGTCTAACACTCCAGTTGAGCCTAATTAATAGAGTGGGCTTTGTAAAACCCATAAATAATTCACCAAGCCCCATCTTACCCCAATCGGTAATTGATTAAGGTAAGTATGAAAAAAACCTAAAAATATTAAATATTGTAATAGTTAATTATTTTTGTAGCTACATATTCTATTAATCGCATAACTTAGTTAACTTTTTTTTGTCAATAAAACTTACTTCATTCATTAAACGATCAAAGTACAAAGGGAGGAAATTAAACATCCTCCAGAATTGCTACAACATAATTGAAAAGCAATAAAACATAAAGCAGATAGATCATCGCATAGGATGGACAGTGAATCCAAAGCAGCTTCGAATGCGTCACGAGGGTCTTCACAGCAAAGCCGAAGAGTCTCAGGTTAGTCACTTTACCATGTGACTTTGAAATTTTCGGCATAAAGCACGGGGGTTCGACCACTCTCCATGAGAGAGAAGAAAATACGACCATGCTCAAAAGAAGGTGCAATTGTCTTCCACATGGTTACATGATTTGAGAATCCAGAAAATTTTGGACTTCTCGTAAGGGAAGATCCAACAAGTTCAAAAGCATATGAGACTTTTGCAAATCTAATTTTTAACCTACTAGAAATTAGGCCAAGTATAATGAGTCTAACACTCCAATTGAGCCTAATTAATAGAATGGGCTTTGTAAAACCCATAAATAATTCACCAAGGTCCATCTTACCCCAATCGGTAATTGATGTCTCATGAGACCGCCGACGGCCAATGGCATTTTCCGGCGAACTACACATCTTTTTCGGCCATATCCGGCCATGATTGACCGTCACAGGGTTATAAATTTTTGGCAAGGTTGAGAGATGCAGCCACTGCGACGGTGGCCAACACCGGATGAGATGCGTGTCATCTTCGGTGAAGACATCTTCGATCCCCTCTGACGACGGGCTAGGGAGAGCCAAGCTTCTGGGAACGTGGTGGAGATGGGGCTCGACATCAAAGGGCGGAGAGTCAGGGCCACGAAGGCGAGCGCATCGTGGCGATCCCCTAGATACGATGCCGTTCAGATCTGAGGAGGTTGCCGGCTTTTCTAGCCATTGTTGAAGCATTGCAGGGTTAAGCGGACAAGATGGTTTCGGGTGTAGGTCTGTCAGGTCCGGCGGCTTTGGAGGAGGAGGGGGCTTCACCAGAATCATTACCGTCGTCTAGAGAGTTCGAGGGGGGGGCGGAAAGAGCTCGCAATATAACCCCAACCTCACCTGAAGTCGCCAAGGGGTGAGTCCGGCGGGAGTCGGTTAAGCACGGAAGTTCGGGGAGATTGTGTTTTGTCGACGAGACACACCGGCGAGGAGAGACAGATTTGCGGGTCAGTGAACGGGCCCTTCCAAGCTGCTCCTCGTCATCTTCACGCTCGACCGAGGACACCACCGGAGCTTCATTCTGGTCGGAAAGGTGGTTGTCAAAAAAACTTCGGAATATGTGCCTGAGAGACTAAATCTATAGGGCGAACTCACCAATCATAACTTAGTTAACTATCTTACACTTTTTGTTACTAGATATCTAAAGTGGATGTGAACGGCTTCGGTGTATAATAGATTAGGGTAAAACTGAAATTTGATGTGTGTAAGATGCTAGTTACTATATTTCGTTTTATAAGATGTTAGATAATTATATGTGTAAATACTAATACATAGGCTAATTTCCCTATAATTTAATTATATATTTAAATTTTAATTAAAAACTTAAACCATGAGCCACTTAGAAAAAGACACATGTCTTTAGAGTTTTTAGTGGGTTTCTTCAACAAAAACCTCTTCTCTTATTTTCTCCAAC